TCTCATCACAGACATTCACAGTCAAGGGAAATCGACACATAGAGTGTATGTGTAATGTAAGTGCATGCATACAATAATGTTCAGCTCTTTCACATATCTTTGATTCGCATCCTGATCATTCACTTCTGAAATGCGGTCACTCATTTTGGTCAGCAATATGGTAAAGACTTGGCGCCTTGGCCTGTAATGCAACACGGATCTAGTAGAATTCTTGCAGGCGACAGCGGACATCTTCGGCGCGGATCAGGGATGAAAACGATGTGGTCGTGTGACTCTGAAGAGGATCTGCGTCCTTTCTTGCAGTGACGTTGATATACCTATCACAGTCTCCCCCATTGTTTCTTTTTACGGTCTTTCCCTTTAGTTTCTCATTGATTATCTAGCAAGACAAAGAAGGCTGCTCCCAATACAGATGGATTATTTATACCTGTCAAACATTTCCTTCATTTTATCACTTTGTCCCGCTTTTATTCTGATTCACATGTTGAAATCAGTTTGGTGTTTAGATTCTTCTGATACCTTTTCGCACGATAACTGCACACCTGTGTTTGGCATAGTGTTAAACAACTCTTTTCACTGCTTCTGTAGCCTAAATGATCCCAAGCACCTTGCGTTGCGTTGGTTGTCCTCAACGTCTGTGGTAGCTGCAGACTGGGACTCTGCTTATGGCCAACTGTTCGGCTGAGGCAAAATCCTAACGTAGAATATGAACGGTAAGATCTCTCCGCCTGTCAATGGACCGCTAGCAGAAGAACTACGCATAAATTCACTGGCTGCTCACTCGGTTATCACCTCTCACGATTACTTAGGTCTCGTCGAACGTTGAGGTTTTCACACACCCAAAGGAGTTGTTCAAATTTATAGGTCTGCAGATGTAACATCGGAAGAGGTTAATAATCACCACGACAGAAATATGTACGGATTTGAAGTAGAATAATGAGTAAATAGTATATAACATACGGTACAGTAAAAGAATAAGTAAATAGTAAAAGTGGAAAGTTGACGATAAAAGAGAATGTGAACGTAATATACAAAAGATCCATTTGGAGTGTAGGGTGGTCACGAATTGTTAGTTAGATACCGGTGGGAACTACACCAAGGGTGGGACGTGGGCATGCCTACGGTAAGGTACGTGAAATACGGTTCAGAAGCGGTAACGAAGGGAGCGATGTCAGCGAGGGCAATGGGGAGGAACACCGGCCATCTTCACCAACAAAAGACCAGACCATTCTCATCCGGATTCGCGCGAAAAGTGACATTGGTATACTCAAAGCATCTCTGTCGATTGCATGTTTCATTACAAGTAGCGTTCTGATAGCTGGCGCCATCGCTTCCCGATGTTGCTGTTTGTTCGAACATCTCCATTCATTGTTATTTCCCGGTTTGTTCGAGGTATGCACATCGTAAACACGTCCCAATAAATGCATACTCCCAGTTTTTCCGTTACCCTCTATTCATGGCGTCATCTGATGGAGCTCATTAATGCGTTTTAGTTTAAGATCGAAATTTTAATTCTAACTTATTGAAAAAAAAAATCATTGACCCGTCTACCAAAGACCTGCGCGTATAACTGACCCGATAATCTGCAGCTGCTTTGTTGACATTAAACGATAGGTGGGGTTACATCATCCAGCTCGTGGTGACTGGACACCAGCTTGACTGACGAGTAACAGAAGCCGACGGCGTCCCGTAGACGCCGAATTAAGTATCAGAATTTCCATATTTGTGCAGAATAAACCACTGTTTGTACTGTATTTTAGACAAGCTCTTATTGGTCAGTTTGTCGGTAAAAGGTTGCACGTGAATGGAATCAAGCCAACTAAGATAATATACAGAAAATTCAAACAGTCAGACGATGACTACTTTAATTCCAGTTACGCCACCATGACAGCCAACAGGCCTGTTTGATAGCTTTTCACGATGCCCACTGTCCCAAGGTCATGCAAATTCACGACGAGTTGTTTCCACCTTGCAGACTTGCAGATATTCGACCGATTTCCACTCCCACGCGCAAGTGAGTCTACATTGTCACGGCTGTCCAAAAGCCGCTTAAGCATGGCACCTCTCGGCGGACGCAGCGTGGGCCACTGTACACAAAACCCTCCCAGGTAATGCAACACATCATTTAGAAACCACTTAGACTTCCCCCACAAGCATATAGAAGCAGACGCCGGCAATTTCTGATTTTCTCTAGTTCAGGCAGGCTTGGACGCTGTCAAATTGGTCCTGGCTTTCCTAGTGGTCCCTGCTGTCTGCAACAGCAACTGGGAATTCTGTGCGCAGTAAACACCTCCCGCAAGCGCCTCCAGTCTAATCCAACAGCCCGGAATTTGGTCTGATGATTGTAGTGTTCTGAGCACAAGCCCTACCTGGACAGTAGTACCATTGACGCCTATGAAGTTCAGTTTGTCGTAGCTGCTGACTACATTCGCAGACTCGTACCAAAACATCCAACAACAGAAATTTAAACTCTTTAGGAAAGTGAATGCTATGTCAAGCCGGAAAATAAACCAGCAGATTCTGCGGGCACACAGGGGCGGTACTGTCTTCAAATTGCAAACAACCTAGAGCCCTCTGCAGTCGATTTCTACTAATAATACTAATAATAAAGTGTTTTACCTAGAAGCCCTGTCGGTAGCTGCGTTACAGTTTTTTACAAGGTTGAAAATTCATAGCCCATATAGTAACCCATATAGTTAAATACAGGCGTACAACGACCATTTAGAGGGCAAACTCGTTCGTAACCTCTATATATGATCTAGGTGCGTTTGTCGATGACATTGTGTCCTGAGGCTCAATGCACAGTCCTCGCAGGCAGATGCCCTTCACTATTTGGGTGTTTCCCATGCGAACAAAAAGCATTAACTGGAAGTGTGACTGGATAAGACCTATGCCATAAGGAGCCATTGGTATGCTAAGAGCTAAAATGAACTGGCCCTACACATTAACAAATACACGCAAAATGTTCTTGGTACATTTTAGACCTACCTTAATAATATAAGTAGCAACGCAATGGGGCAAATTATACCTAAGCTCGTATAATCCTCGCTCACATGCCGACTTGAACCGCCGGTGTCGGTCGTTGACTTTCCAGTCCATTACACTTTTTCTTGTAGTTGTAAAACAACTACGCTCCCAATCTTCGTGTTGTACAACAGATATGTTTCAATTCCGCCCTTTTCGGGCAGACCAGCTACATATAATGGTTGTGCTTGCATATTTATTGTTACTGTTTACTATTGACGTTTAATCGCATTATGATTGTTTTTATTTAAACTTCCATAAATGCTCGGGCTTTACCTTGTTGGTCTGGAAGAAACTTGGCTGTCTTTCGTCTATACTACTTCACGAACTCTTTCAATGCATACGGTAGATGACTTACATGTCAGATTTAGCCATCGGGATTTGAGATGCTAGTTCAACGTATATTTGGTCTTGTTATTTTGATTCGCGGAGTTGAGTTGAGTCTCAGAAAGTCTTGTACTAAAGAAAACTGCATTTTTAGCTTACACACTGAAGAAAAACAGGCGGGATCTGGACGAATTCGAAGGTTGTCGGATACCCAAGCAATGTTGTGCATTTTTTAATATCAGGGATAATCGCAGGGGTTTAAGTAAATAAGGTTAAGTCCTGGCAACAGCTATCTGTAGGACCAATTTCTCAGGACAAAAGAAGGAATGGGATTTCAGAGTAGTAGGAAATACTTATTATATACATAAGGAAGTGAATAATTGGCATGATGAATTTGACTGTCAGACGAGCGAGCAACAGCCAGCCAGCGGGCCCCAGCTGATCCGAAATGACCGCTGGAATCGTCCAAACGTCTAAACTGGTCTTTGTGTGAGTCAATCTTGATAGGTGATTGGCCAGATAGGATAGGTAGACAAACCTGTGTTTGGCTGTCCCAGAAGCCCACGTCGGCAGCAGTGAGCGTTCACACGCGAGCTTCCCCGTGGAATGAGTCACTTAAAGGGAAAATCACCACTGACAACTTAGTAGCATCTATGGCCTCCCGAATTACAGCAGTTTTACTTGCCGAAAAACAAACAGAAAAACACTAGTATGTGGATATTTTTATTGTTTTTACTATTTTGACTTTGTATCTTGTTTTTCTTATCTGCTGTTACCTCCATTAGCTCTAAAATAATTTACCTGACATGCAGTCGTTTTTTTCTATTTGAAAGTTATCGATGAAACAAATTATTTCTTAATTAATAAGCAATACTTTATAAATCAAACTATATCTACCTTTTAGGATCGACCGTTTGTTTAGCACAGTACAACTTGTGGGTGTGAGGGGTGGGCGGTTTGCACGCTACATGGGTTTTAGTGGGAAGTTCGCGAATTTGCATTATTTAGGAACTCAACAATACTAGGTGGATCGATAACCAAGGGTCTTCTGATTGATTCCTTTTACAGCATTCTCAAAGTTCCGCATACTTTCGACTTTATTACCGAGTGCAGATGTTATCAGCCTAGTCACCGACACGCACGCAGAACAGCTTGCTTGTCGGTGCGATTGAAGAAGGATGTAGGTCTTTACGCCGATTGTTCTGAAAGCTATCCACACGAACAGCGAAGACATTCAGCAAAATATTCTGAGCAAAGGCAGCGCTGAATAGTTTAAGATTTAAACCATCTGTACCTGTATGATATGTACCCTTTAAGCCCAGTAGAACGGCCATTCAGATTGTAGCCAACATCAAGGAATATCCCTAGATTCTCTCAAACACAGTCCAAGCTACGCTTGCTCCGATTAAGACCACTCGGCCAGCACAGAATGCAACTTCAGTCCCCAGGGACACCGCTTCCCGGGCAGGTCTTTCTGTTTCTTCGTTTTAACAGGCAAAAACCTTGTTAAAGCAACCAAAGTTTTGCATTCATTTCGAATACGCAGCTGCCAAAATGTCGGTTCATCTAGAACCACCCTGTTGTCTGTCTACCACCACCCATTTATCCGGATGACGTAAAGAACTGGGGTTAGTTAATCAAGCTAAAATCTATGCATGATGATTATAGAGATCTCGGTGTACCTCTGAAACGGCCGTAGGTTCCTGGTCTATGAAATCGATGGCATCGTGAGCGTTCGGGTTTTCAGCACCCTCGGGGCCAAGTACTAGTTCTACAATGCCAAGTTGTAGCTGCCTCATGTGGAAGTAGGCCTTTATTGTGAAGTCTTCGCTGGAGTTTGTCAAAATAGTAGTTGACTCAGTCTCACAAAAGGTCATTAGAGCCTGATGCAGGGAGATTCGGCGTATAATTTTGCCTTAAAATTACAAACATTCGCAGCAGACAATTCAGAAGAGCCGTTGGCGAGTCTGTGTAAGTTTTCGATAAATTCTCATCGGGTCAGTACATTCATACGGGAACAGGGTGCAAGTTTAAACATGCAGTCAGTAATGTTTGTATTATCATACAAGTGTGTCATGGGAACAGGGGGGAGGGTAGGGGTCGAAAAGAGAAGGCTGTTTACGCGGCGGGGAGAGTCTGGTGGGACCGGTCCAAGAGGAGGGTGGAGGGTGGCCGTCGGCTATGTCAGGCGCGGAGCTTGCAGAAGATTCTTTTCTGCGCAAAAGACCGTCTTTTTCAACCTGATAGTGGTCGCTTCTGCTGGTAAAACCATGCTCTGACTCAGGAATTTTTAGACAGTTTGGTTACTCATCCGAAAGGCTTCGTTGGGCACATCAGGATGTCTGGGATCCACGACATGGACGAGAATAGCGCTGTTTATGCTTCTGACGTCACCTTTGTCAGCTATGGCGGTAGGCGTTCCCTTATCCTGTTGGATAAGCACGCTACTAATATAACCTGCTCCGTTGGAGCAAATAAATGAGTGGATGCACATAGAGGTGCAAAACCGAACTGGTTTGGAATAATACCCAAAGTCTCGCTGATGAGAGGATTCGGGACACGGCCTGGTCGAGGCATCTTCCCTTGCCGCACCCCTTCGAAATGCGACTTTGTGGAATAGTGTCTCTTTTTCTACAGTGAATGTGATGGGTTTTACTTGCTATGCAACCATCTTCTTTGTGCTGAATCTCTCAGGATGCCCGTTGTGACGAAGTAGGTAGTGGATTTTCTTAGGCTCTTCCTTAATCCTGTCTGCTCAGCTAATTTTTTTAGCTCTTTGCGTCGAGCATTGGAGTAGATTACGCTTCTGATGGATGGGCATGAAACTGCTAAAGTTGGTGTATTGTCCAGATCGGGTTTTATTTTGATACTCTCCTTCGCACGCTACCCTCGGAACTTTGACTTAGGAGAACGTCTACGAAAGGGAGCGAATCTGCAACTTCCACCTCCAACGTGAACTTAGCGGATGGATGCGCTTGATTTACAGCATTTAAGAGAGTGCATCTACTTCATTTTCTGTTGTGGTGATGGCAAAGATGTCATTAGCGCAGTGATCGTAGTTTTTTAGCTTATTGATCTCATGACTTAGTTGAAACTGTTCTACCTTGCTCGCGGAGACATTGGCTAAGAGATGTCCAACAGACGAGGCCATAGCGACGCCATCTATTTGTCTGTTAAGTTGATTGTCAAAAAAGAACTGCACATTTAGTGTCCATTTTAGTAATAATTCATTAAGTGCATTCGAAGATTACCTATGAAGTAAATAGGGTATTGGTAACGACGGTAGACGGTGAGGGTGGACGGCAAAATGGTAATACATTCAGGCATGATTCAGCGCCAACTGAGCAAATCTGTAATTCTGAAAAAGCCCCACACACCGCATTTATATCACGAAATGAAAAATGTTGCTACTTCCATGTCTACTCAATCCCCTCCCCTCAAATCCGATACATTATATTCTTTGTTTGGCATTTT